TTGTCTCGGATTCTCCAGCATCTGCAGTTCCTACTATCTCTAGCCTGCACTCCAAGGTCTCTTTGTTCGGCAACACTCCATAGGACGTTACCATTAAGTGTATAAGTTCTCCCCTGATTTGCCTTTCCAAAATATAGCACTTCAAAGTTATCTATATTAAACTCCATCTGCCACTCCTCGGCCCATTTGCCCATCTGATACAGCCTCAGCATTGCATCCTTGCTCTTGTATTCTAGCCCTCTCAAAATAAATGCTGACATTGCATTTGCCTTCCTATCAACTGAACGTTAAGAAAATCCTGAACTGTAACTCCTAAGTCCCTTTGTGCTTCAGATTTCCCAAGCCCTTCCCATTTAGAAAGCAGTCCAAGTCCCTATTCTTTCTAACAAAGTGCATAACCTTACACCTTCCCACATTATGCTCCACCTGCTGCTTCTTTGCCCACTCTCCTCAGCCTGTCCAAGGCCTTCTGTCGCCTCCCCTGCTTCCTCAACACTGCCTGTTCATCCACCCATCTTTGTGTCAACTGCAAACTTAACAAAAATGTCCTCAGTTCCTGTCCAGATTGTCCATGTGCAACTCTACTTTCGCTCCACAGATGCTACCAGCCCTGCTGAGTTTCTCCAACAATTTCCATTTTTATACTTAAGGAGGCAACTGTTTGCAATTTTGTGTTAGTCTGGTAGTCCCACAAAGAAAGAGGACTTTGGGAATGATATTCACCAGGAAGCCACACACGAGAGAGGGGGAAGGCCTGCAAATGGAACGAAAGACTCCAGGTAACAGCAGGCTGTGTTGGTGAAGGCGGTGGCCTTCCAGCTGCTGGGAGGCTGCACCTCTTCGCTTCCCCTAGGTCACATTACACACACGGAGAGTGAGAAAGGGGATCTTTAAAGTGGTGGCTGTGACCGACTGCCCATCCGCTGTAGATGTCCGATTGGGCACTAACTCACACACACCTCCCCTCCCCCCCCAACCCCCCCCAGCCACCCACCCCCCCCCTAACCACTCAATCACTTCCCTGTCCATCACTAACTCAAACTTACTGTCTGACAGACTGAGCGTGGAAGCGGGCAGACCGCACACAGCCTCACGACTAACAGTGAGTTCCAGCACGCGAATCTTACATTGGGAACCACAGGATGGGAAATCTGTGGATCTATTCAATCACACATTGTTACAAATGTAAAACAACCTGAGAGTGACCATTATACGTTTGAAGTCACTGTAGAGTTTGTTAGGGAGCAACATGAAATCGATGGTAAGTTTCTGGGTTTAGGTGGGGCAAACTTTAATGCGTTAGGAACACAGATTGTGCGAAATAAACTGGATAGTTGGGATATTTTTGTATTTCGTCTTCCTGCATACATCCTGGGCCGGATTTTCAGACACGCGATCACCACAGTCAGTGAAACTCCGCTCCTTTCTTTTTAACCGAACAGCTCCTAATTTCTGGCAAAAGATTGCGATCACGAATCCCACGAAAACGCGCAGTGTATACTTCATCCAACTGTGTCTGTGAGCTACTGGATAGCGGGAGAGGACAAAGCGCGCCCCCTTTCGCACAGCACTATGTGCTATACTCTCTGTTTTAAATGTACAGCAGCACAGACAGTGAAAGGGTGACTATGTAGGGTAAGTGTGCCAAGTGTGAGGTTAGACTGGGATGGGGCAAGTACTGTCCGTGATTGGAGTGTTTAACAGGGTAGGATCTGGTTCAATTGGAGGAGGGATGGGGTTGGGGGGATGTCAGGCAAAGAGGTGAAATGCCAGGCAAGGGGCAGGAGGGCTGGCTGGGGCTGGGGGTGGGGTTTGGTGGTGGTATCGGCTCTTGGGGTGTGGAGGGAGTTAATTAAGTCTCCAGGAGATGCAAGTGTCTGACCGAGGTGCAGCTGGGAATAATAAGTTAGGGGTCAGTGTTATCGTTACTCAGGAGTTGGATCGTGTTTTTAATTACTTAACTTTTCCTCGCTAACAACTAACGGCAACAGAACCCTCTGAATTCTACGGTTAAATCTTCCATTTCCTGAGAAATTTTCTCAGAGCCTGCTATGCAGGTTTAAGATTCTGCAGCATCAGGGGCTGCATTGTGGTATGGTGAGAGTATCCCTATCCCTGAACCAAGAGACTGGCTTCAAATCCCACCTGCTCCAGAGATGTGTAATAACATCTCTGAACAGTTGATTAGGCAAATAGGTTAAATAACTTTTTTAAAAAGATTCTGCACCATCCACTGCAGTCTGTGTGGCAGGAATGACTACTGACCATCAGAGAATCACGGCACAGTTCTATATATTGTGCATTTACTGCGTGGAGAGCATATTAGCTCACTGTACATTCAGAGCTCACTAGATGAAAGGTTTATGAGGTATGCAGAACATTAGCCTCTTGGCCACAGAGGCTTCTTGGTCAACATATCATACAAGGTGCCGAATGATGTGAGCTAAGGTGAGAAATCTGGGGCAATGCCATGAGAAGTTGAGTAAGACCTAACTCAATGTTGGAGAAGGGTCTCGGCCTGAAACATCAGCCTTCCTGCTCCTCTCATGCTGCTTGGCCTGCTGTGTTCATCCAGCTCTACACGTTGTTATCTCAGATTCTCCAGCATCTGCAGTTCCTACTATCTCTGAATCAATGTTGGAAGCAACCAGCTTCACTTTCCAACAGAATTCTGTACATCGAGATCACATCCTCACCAGGCAGCAGCTAGATGACTATCGGGGGAATTACTGCTTGTTGTCAGCCTCATTAACTACACACCTTGTGTTATTAATGTGCATCCTCCTATTCTACCACCAACCATGAAATATCTAGACACCGAGAATTCTCAACATGGAAGTCTGAACAGTTACCCAGCAATTCCAATTCACCACCAATCCTGGTGTCACCTATCAGCCCGAGCCTGGATGTTAACAGAAACAGAAACAGAAGTTGCAGGAAAAGTGAGCAGGTGGGGCAGCATCTGTGAAGAAAAATCAGAGTTAACGTTTCGGGTCCGGTGACCCTTCCTCAGAACAGCATGGATGTTGTTCAGTTCTTTCCACGTATGGACATGGACTGCTTAAGTATCTGTAGAGTCGTGAATGGGGATGAACATTTTGTATTCATCAGTGATCATCCTACTACTGACCTCCTGATGAAGGCAGGTGAAGGATGAAGCAGCTGAAGATGGCTGGGCCTAAGGTATTACCTTGAGGAACTGCAGTCTAAGGAAGTCCTTAGACTGAGATGATTGACCTCCAATAACCACAAACATTTACCTTTGTGCAAAGAATGACTCCAATCAGCAAAGAGTTTTCCCCCATTCCTATTGACTTCAGTTTTGTTATGGCTCTTCAAAGTCAAAACCCAGTATAAATGCTTCTTTTTGTCAAGGGGAGTCAATCTCACTGTAGCTCTGGAGTTCGGCTCTTTTGTCCATGTTTAGATCAAGGCTGTAATGAGGTCAAGAGTTGAGTGGCCCTGGTGGAACCCAAATTGAGCATCAGTGCCTCTTGATAGCAGTGTTGACAACCTCCTCAATAATTTTACAGTTGAGGGAGAGTGGACTGATGGATTGGTAATTGAACCAGTTATGTTTGTCCTGCTGTTTTCTTTTGGACAGGACACACCAAGGCAATTTTCCACATAGAGGTCAGTGTTTTGCCTGTCCTGGAACAGCTTAGCTAGTTTTGGAGCATGAGTTTCCGGTGCTATAGTGCAATATTTCAAGGCACATAACCTTTGTTGTTTCCGGTGTCTTCAGCCATTTCTTGGAGTGAAGCACATGGAGTGAAT